AATCAAAATGGCGTGGTTGCCAAGCTAGGATTCGTTATGATTGTATGACTTTTTCTTATGTAAATATTCTTTTATTCCATATCATTTGTCCTCATTTCGGTTTGCAAAAAGTAGAACGAAAGATTAATGGGAGATCAAGCAAAGTTCTCAAGGCATCGAAGAACCTCATTTTATTAGATGCCTGGACTCGAGTTTAATAATGTTTATAAAATAATTAGCTCACGTTCCATAATTCAATTTTATTGATTTTTCGTTTCGATTGGAGCCAATGGTTGTCTGCAAGATCCAGTGCATATTGACCAATAAATGTCGGTCTTGCCCCTTTATTAATTCATTTCTCACGATTGTTATGAAGTGGAAATTGTCTTACAGCATTAGCATAGCAGAGATGAGAGATAGCTACACGGTTGAAGCTAGAAGTCTTCCGTGAACTGTTTACGCCAAAAACTGAATCTTTTCTTAATATTTCCACAGATGCTTTGGGAACTATTGACTACGTTCATGTTGATGGTACTGTGGTATTCCGAACATCTGCAGAGGAAAAGGGAAAAGTCATTCTCCAGTTGGGAACTGCTGATGCGAAGCGGGCATTACTAGCAGCTCGGAAAGTGTGAGTTTTGATTGGAGTAGGAATGTGAAGTGACAGGAGGTCTTTTCATCTCTCTCTTTTCTCCTATTTAGCCAGGCTGATGTCGCCGCTATTGATGTGAATATGGGATGCCCTAAAGATTACTCCATTAAGGTATTTCATTTCATTCATTCATTCACCTTTTTTCTCAATGTTTGCACAACTCTTACTTTTGCTTGATTTGGTCAACTCCTCGTCTTCAGTATCAACCTATTCCATTAATCTAATTAAGATTTTTTAGAATGACTTTATATGAGGTCGGTGCTTAATTATGTTGCTTGTTTTGACGATGTTTGGCTAATCCCAATTTACCCCCACTTTTCCCTTTTTTTATTTTTACTCTTCTAGGGTGGCATGGGCGTAGCTTTACTCAGACAACCGGAGAAAATCAAATCGGTTAGTCCACTCATTTTGTCTCTTTTTAATTCCTTTGTTTTATGTTCATTTCACGCTTCTTTTAACCCCTTATTTTTAGATTTTAACCACACTTGTTCAAAATCTACATGTGCCCATTACATGCAAAATTAGGATTCTTAATACCGTGAGTTAGCTGTTTCCGTGGATTTATTCTTGTTTTATCGCCTTCTATTGAAACTTCTTGACCTTGTAGCGGATACAGCACAAGTAAACCTTCTTTATGTCCGACTAAGCGCATACAAGTAAAGCTAAGCTTGTTTACAAAATTAACTGATGTGAACTAAAGAGGAAATTGTTGAGAGAATTTACTGCTCGAAGGCTTAGAAGTGGACTTCAGGAATAGTGATTGCTGATAGGCTGGGAGGAATTCGCACTCTCGCTGCGTATCCTCTGTACACGATCGGTAGCATGTTCGTAGTTTCCAGTACTTTTTACCCCTCGAGTCTCCTTTGGTCAACTTTAGTGCCTACCATAGGCTCTTAACGCTCTACTTTATCGCCTTTTCCCAACCGAATAGTGTGTTCGATCTATGCTGTTTGGGTAATTCTTACGGCCGGATTAAATTATTGTGGAATGTTGTCATTCATTCTTGTCTGTCTTCAAATAGGTGATTCCTCAAATATCGGACATTTCGGTATTCAAGGAGGCTTGCTATTTTAAACATTTTTCCACACTTAATATTAATAGTAATTCCCAAAAGCATTTAGTGAAGTTCACCTTGGGAAGAGGGGTAGCATTATGGAACCCTTCTTGGTGAGAAACTTCAATTCTCACCATCTTTTCCACTAAAATTAAATGACGGGGTTAGCAATTCCGCTCAGTTTAATCTGATGTTTTGCTTTAGCTGCTTTACGCAAAAATTTTGGAGCAGCAACATATAGAAGGTAACAGCAGTTGATATGGTTGGCTATCATGCTATCATCTTACCAATTTCATGCTGAAGGGAACAGGTAAATGTGAACAGATATTGCCCCCCCCCCTCATCTGCTCTAAACCTCCTTCGCTCTTCCCCCCCCCCCCCCATTTTGCTCTGTGCAGCCTTTTGAACGCATACATTTGCCTTCCAGGTTGAAGAGACAATCGAGTTGGTTCGTCTCATCGAGTCGACGGGAGTGGCGGCGATTGCGGTGCACGGTCGGAAACGAGAGGAACGACCTCGACATCCCAACCACGAGAACTTCATCCGCGCCATCGCTGAGGCTGTTAAAGTTCCCATTCTTGCCAAGTTAGCTTCACCACATACACATTCTTATAATCCATTATTCGCCCATTCGCATATTTTAGTTACTTAACTATTGCTAGCATTTTGGCCTATTTTAATAACTTGACTTAATGATGAGAGATGCAGGATATTTTTTCGATAACATTCTTTTTTTGAACTGCCTGTTAAAAGCTCTTTTTTTGTTACATTGGAACTTGATGTTAAGTGGCTCTTGAATGACGCTTCCTCCACAGCAGCTGAATACTGTGTGGATGTTCCAACTAGCAACAACAAGCTAACCTGTTCTTCACTTCTATTGGAAGTGTGTTTTCTTTTCAGATTTTATTATTTTCAAGCCTTATCTACTAGACGTTGTTAATGTGCAGGCAGTTACTTATCCGGAGCAAGTGGTCTTGCATCTTTTGCTTAAGTTAAAATCTCCCCTGCTCTATTGCTTCGATGCCTATTTTCGGTCTTTAATCTGCCAATCGAGTTTATTCGACTGTCAAGTCAATGAGCTTTCTCACCTTCTATTGATATTCACCGCAGTTCAGGTTGTTTGGGGTTTAAGATTTGTTCGAACCACTGTCTTCGTTCTTAGTCCGGCGGGAGTAGCCATGATTTTTTAGTTAGTTTGGTTCTCAGGATTACTTTTTCTCCATTTTTCGTTGTTTTTGTTGTTACTTTTTTAATGTAGCGGTGGTTCTAAAGACACAATCAGGCAACACGAGGACATTGAATTCTTCCGACAGTCAACTGGCGCCGCCGGTGTTATGATTGGTCGTGCGGCTATGTGGAATCCGGCTATTTTCGCGCCTCCACCAGCCAACGCTCCATCTCCCTCCAAGATGACTGTGGTCCACGAGTATCTGGAATTGGTTAGTTCCAATGATTATATAACTCACATGTGTCCCCCAATTATAATAAAGTTACACATTGTTAGTGATCCCTTTGTATACACAATGGGCACAGAGTATTGATTGATTTTAGTATGTCTGAAACTGGTTGGTTGATTATTTTCAAAAGCAACATGGTAGAGTTTACTAGAGTTTCAGTGTATAATAGCTGTATAGTCTTGGGGAGTTTTGTGCTTAGATCGCCTTAAGTTTGCAGAAAAGTCCTCCTTGGTGGATATGTTGTACTTATAGTGATTTGAGATCCTACTGTGCCCCTCACTGCCCCGCATGAAGTGCAACTCTAATGCTGCGCCATGTATGCACCTCTTCCATACCACTATTGGGGGTATAGTCCATTCATCTAGTTGTATATGTAATTTCTACTTCCAATCACAATGGCTTTGGGCCTAATATCCATGTCTGCCGTCACCTCTGTACATGAGGCGACGTTCCGGAGTGCCATTCCCCCGCTTATATTCACTTTTCAAGTAAATTTCCATTGCTATCTAATTTGTGGGGGGGGGGGGCGTTTGATTCAATTCGTGGGTACTCCATGTTTACCATCGAAGCTTTATTAGGTTCATTCAAAATACTACCTTTGCCAGTTCCATCCCAGAAGTACTTCAACACAACAGTGTCCAAAATCGAGTCTCACAATTCTGTTTGCCTGTGTATTAACATTTCTTTTACAGGCTGTTAAGTACAATCACAACATCAGTGGAGCGAAGTACTGCATTCAACGCATGCTCAACGAGGACACTGGCTCTGATAAATATGTGAAAACCCTGTCTGCAGAAAACTTGGCTGAAGTATGGTGAGTTTATTCCTCATGCTAATTGGAGGGTTTTGAAATAGATCGGTAGCCCCATGACTAGGGACTCATGCAGAGTTTAAGCAAACGGGAAGAGAAATTAGCTACATTTTTTCTATTCGTCTTTCTCATTAAGTCTTTGTAATAATTGCTCACAGATAGATCACTTAATAGCCCAACTTTGAAGTCGATTAGACGACAGCTAATTAATGGAACTGCCTTTAGTTATCCTGTTGGGAAATGGGACTCTGATAACAAGGATTGGCAAATCCGCCTTTCTGTGTGAATTAGACCTTTAACACCCAAATTATTTATCTTTATAAAATGCACTCAACCGCACTCATGCGTGTCTCACAGCAGCAGACTGATTTCAATGCTATCAGGCGAAGGCTGCATAGACGTGTTGAACATGTTTTGAACCACATTAGCGCCTTCTGTTACGAGTCTAGTACCAATGGAGCTTATTTTGAAAGAGGTCCGCACGGTCCTGCAGGGCGTTAAAGGGTTAGAAACCCGAAAGATTTGAAAACAGAAGAGGTTTGGATCGACATCCTATCCATAACCGAAAAATTGGTTTAGCTAGGTGAAAGAGTTGTGGATTATGGCTAAGTGTGAAATAGAGATGGCTATGGATAAAGCTGTGTAGATGGAGGCTGATGAAGGTGCAGATATTGAATTGAAGCTAGTTAGAAACAGCGGAATTGAAAAAAAATAAATTCCTACATATATCCAAGAGTGTAAATTGATACGGACCATTACTGTCTTCGCTAAAAACAAGGGTCTTGAAGTTCTCCTCAACACGGTGAGAAAGCCAATCCCAGGATTGCACTCATGTAGATCAAAGATGCAAGACAACTGGCTAGACAACGAATTTCTCCGCGAAATCCAAGATGACTTCGCCTAAGGGCCGCTGTGAAAAGTCGCCCTAGTTGAGATATTAAGAGAGAGTAGAAATAAAAGAAAAGTAGCGAGAACCACGTGTAAATCAATCAACGATTTCATTCCCTCTCAAGGGTATACAAGCTTCCAATCCAAATGAACCAGTGGGATCACTGGTCATCATTAAATCCCAAATATCAACAATGACTTTTACTTCCTAACCTAGGCATGGACCTCATATTGGCCTGTTAGAACACTGAGGGCTAAAGGAAGAAAAGTAGGGTGTTTTGGCCACTTCATTTTGTCGCTTACTCCTCATACGTTACCCTATCTTGATTTTTGGTAATTTACAATTTTAGTGACATTTGGGGACTGCCGGAGAAGATCATCGAAAAGGCCAGACTTTGTTCTAGCGAACGGATAGCTTCACTTAATTCCGCCAAAGCCGATGGTGGCTCTCCTGTTGAAAGCAAGAAACCTCACCTCAACGGAGATGCCACCGCGGTGGAAGGAGGTGTCAACGGTGAAAAAGATGATGTCATTACTCTTCCAGTGGCCTTTATTCGCAGCGAATGGCCAGCTGTGGGAGTCACTCCAAAACAGATTCTATTTGAGCATTGCAAACGAAGACGTCTTCCTTTTGCAACATTTTCAACTGTAATGTCCACCTTCATTTATTTTTTTGATTATCTCTAGGAGGAAAATAAAGATACACGCATCTTCTACAGCATAGTCACTTTTGATGGAGTGAAGTATTCGCATAAAACTCCGCAAGTTCTCCCACCAACTTTCCATTTAAATTGTGTCTATCAATGGTGTATTCTTACTGGTTTTTTACCTTCTTTTTAGGGCGAAATCAAAAAAGTTTGCAGAACAGACTGCCTCTCTTGCGTGCTTAACTCACTTGAAGCTGTGGCCACCTTCAGAAAAAGAGGAGAAGGGGGAGGAGGAGGAGCATTGAATTATCCCTGTGTTTTATATTGCTCTGTAATTTACTGAGATATGTATTTTGTGATTTGGATTATTAGAATACAACGTGATGTGAGTCTGTTGCTCCTAGGCTTATGGTAATGAGGAGAGTTTGTGGTTATTCACAGTTTATTAGGGTGGTAGTCAAATTGTACTTCTTTTGAGCAAGGAGGGGGCGGGTGGACGGTGCCGAATAGTTTGATTTTGCAGCGGGATGAAATGGATTGAGCTTGTATCATTAAATTTGTTATTCTTTTCAAATGAAGGAAACAAATTAGCGGGGTTTAATTTAATTTGGGCGGAGAGAATGTCCTACTGTTAAAATCGAAATAAACAAAGGTTCTCTTAACAATCGGGGGACAGCTATGGAGTTCTAATTATTGCGGATGAAGGGCGATGACGTTCGGGATATAATTATTAATATAGTGTCTGCTCAGTGCCGCTGGGGAGGAGAAATGTGTTATGGGGAGGAAACTCACTTGCATTATATTGAACTTGCGGTCGGTGATAAATTTTTGCAAAGTTTATTGAGTCGAGAGCGAAAGAATAAGAGCGACAGACTGAAAAGCTCAACAAAACTGCATCAAGATCTGAAAGTATCAAAACTTAGGAATTTAATTTTAGAATCATTTTGTTGAATAATTTCTTCAGCTACTTAATAGACATTAGCGAATTATTTTAATGCGAAAAATTTAGCGTTCATCAATGCAGGTAAAATCAACATTGTTTACTTGTAATTTGGTAATTAATATCAAAAGTGATTCCAGTATAGGGAATACGCTTTCTTAGCACGATTAATCTGAGTATCCGGGCGATACGGCCTAGCGTTCAAAGGACTTCTGAGATAGTCCGCTAACGACGTTCATCCAACATATTCGATAACCAAATATGTTTGCAGAGATCATAATTTCAGTGAACGCTTTAAACGCGATATACGTTCTTCCGCTGTCATTGAAGTAGTACAAATCCGATAGCCTGTTCTTGCTAAGATATTGTGAAATAGAGATTACTGAAGATCAATCAGGCATAATTTTTGAAGCAATGAGCAAAGCAAATGATTTTTACGTGAAAATCATATTTCTTTGGCTTTTTAAATTCGCATTACCAATTTACTTAGCTAATTTTAGGGCATCAAAATTATATTTTCTGGAAATCATAAAAATAAATATTATTAATATGTAAAATATTTATTTAGCAAGGATTAATACGTCCTTGAAGTGTTTTAGTTATTCATTTAAGCTTTAACGGCTTTGATGAACCAATTTTAACGAATTAACTTATGGAAAGCAAAAACTGTTGGCTGCCAGATGAAATTCTGGGTTATACATTGGGGAGGGTTATCAAAGTTCAGAATGGGATTGCTACATGCCAAGCGTTAAATGAATCTGGATTTGTAAATTTCAAAATTTTATTTGCTTTGGAGTTTAAAAATTTACATAATAGTTTTTTCATCACGTTTTACGTTTTTATTTAGACATACGAAATACCTACATCACAAGTACTTCTTGTTGAACCTCATGATCACTTCCCTGATGATAATTGTAGGCTATAATATTTGTATAAATATTTTAGGCGCTCTTATTAATTTAAATGAGGCTACCCTATTGGAGAATGTGAAACAGCGCTACATGAAAGATAAAATTTATGTAAGTATTTTTTGCAATTATTTTTTTCTCGGTCATACATTTTGCTTCCCAGATAAAATAGTTAATTTCATGTTGTTTTTTCAGATGTATTACAACTTTTTCCATTGTAAAATGCTTAATTATTTAACATAATAATTTTTTTTAATTAGACGTACGTGGCAAACATTCTAATCGCTGTCAATCCCTACTACGATATCAAAGGATTATATTCCCGAGAAATGATTGAAGAATATAAGGGAAAATCTCTCGGAGTGTTGCCTCCTCATCCTTTTGCCATCGGTAAGCAAATTTGACATCTTCTTTAATTCAAGAGAGACAACCTCCAATCAATAAAATTTAAATTTACCTTAATGACTGCCACCGGTACTGCCTTCACTGATCCTAAACTTCAATTTCTAATTTTCCACGCAGTACTACAGCTGGGGTCCAAGTTTGCAAATGCTTCGACCTCTACTTAAATTTACCCTCTGTTTAATGAATATTCAACAGTCGGAAAATGGATAATTGTGTTTGTGAATGACGGAATGTGATCATGTTGATTGGCTAGAATTTCAATATTTTTATTCTCATTATCGTTACCAGTGAAGTACTGAAAGTTCTAGGAGCGCTGAGTTTCAGTTTGAAAATGGACATTCTAGTGTTTGATTAAAGTCGCCTTTTCATCTCCATTCCCATACACTGCAGATGGAAGTTGACCAATTAGTAAAGATGACATTGATTCAGCCATCAGTCTTGAAAAGCAGATAAATAGATCAAAAATTTAATTTAGGCCTTAATCATTTACCTCTTAAATAAAATTTATACTATTAGTAATTTGGAATCGTGGTACAGAGTGCATGTTTTTCAACTTCTCCTTAAGCGTTTGAGGGAAATTGTTGAATGACTGATACCTCCTTCTAGAATTTGAAGAAATAGGTACCACTTCTGCCAAGCTGCGATGCGGTGTTTGATTGACTAAAAGTACTTGCTAACGCGAGAACAAACTTGATTAAAATAGCTATTGATTTAATTCCTCCTCCTCTTCTTCTTCTTCTTTGTAGCTGACAAAGCTTTCAGAGATATGCGAATGCTGAAGGAGTCGCAAGCCATTATCGTGAGCGGTGAATCAGGAGCGGGGAAGACTGAAACGACAAAGCACGTTCTCCGCTACCTCACAGAGGGCTACGGGGCCAACGCAGGCGTCATTGAACAAAGGATCATTGACTGTGAGTTTTATGTCTACTTCACTTCACTTACTTTTAAAGATATTTGTCTATTGGCAAAAATACAAACCTTTGGTTAAAAAATTCCGGTTCCTCTCAAAGACTCTTGACCTCTGACATTCAAAATATCAGCCCCCCCCCTAAAGTAAATTCCTATCCTGAGCTAATCCAGCTCCTTAAGGCACTCGTAACCATTAGGTTCGGATCATAGTTAGTCAAAAGGTCAGTAAAATTACTTTCCGGAGCCCGATCAGTATAGACAAACAAAAATCAATTATCTTTCTCCTCGAGTAACAGGATGCGCAAACCTAACCCAAACAAGAAGACCATGAGCTAATCCAACAGGAAGGTGGATAGTTATGTGATTTGTAATGAAAAGACCTAATTAAGGTACTAAAATTTGAATTTAACATTTTTTGACCTTGAGTAACCAATAAAAATCGTCATTTACCATATGGGACAGAGCAATATTATGAGTCAACGTGTGCACTTGATAAATTGCCACGGTTTTAATAATCCTATAGATTCGGTTTTCGCGAATGCTATTTTTTGATGAATTTATTTTCACAATAATGAATTTAGTTAGTTGTGCTAAAGGAAAATTTTGATTGAAATCGCTCAAGTTTGAAGATTTTTGTTGAAATTCATATTGCCTTCATAATCAAAAAATGATAAAATTTTAAGTCAATAAGACCCACTTTAAAGTCTCAAAGCAACGCAACTTTGAAAGCATTGTACCACTCCCTGTATTCTTGTTGAAAAGCGATCTTTACGTCAGCCACACTGATCAATCGAATATTCATATTTGAGAAGAGCCGATATTGCCATCGGAATGGTTCCCTCGTTATTCGCGAATCATTTCTATTGTTGTTATGCTGTGTAGCATTATTAAAATAGCTTATTTTTTAAATCCTATTAGTTTGTAATTTATAAATTCAAGGTCATATTCAGTTTCAGCGCTTTTCTTCCCTTTCAAATTTTTTTTTACAACTTTTTTCCAGAGATTATTTGTAGTTAATGATTTCCTTGCCAACCATTTATGCTCTCATCTCTTTCGCAGACTCACTTTACTGACATCATTTTGAGTTCATTTATTTTAAACGCTTCTATTCGAAAAGTGCTATAGTTTATAGCTCAATTTCTCTTGCTTCGTTCCATCATCTTCGTGGAGATCTTTTTATACATGTGGATGATTTTTTCATAATTCTTCTATGGCGAGTAGAGGGAACGGGTAGGGCTGACTCAAGAGGTAATTTAATCCGTGTTTAGCCTAATTTCCTATGCCTGAAACACTCAAACCATTCAGATGTTGCAAACCGACTCAATTGGTCTAAATTCTCTGCTTAACTTCGGCTTCAAGATTCTCTAAAGAGATCTCTTTCAAATAGCACTCGGTATCGCACATTGTCAATGGTAGATTCGCACACAAATTATAAGTAAAAGTTGATAATGACTTTAATTATCTCTGATAGGCTGTTGATAATTAAATTTCATTGATTGACTCATTTAAAGTTAGAGGGAACTCTTTTTTCTAATGAAGGTTTGAAAAGGAGTTCTTTCATGCTAGAATTTCTTTTGCCACTAAAGGGCTTCTTGTGATGTCTTCTTCTTCTTCCTCCTCTTCTTTTAGCAAATCCCCTTCTTGAAGCGTTTGGGAATGCCAAAACTGTGCGGAATAATAACTCTTCCAGGTTTGGAAAGTTTATTGAGCTGGCCTTTGATAAGCAAGCCGCTGTGTGCGGAGGTTCCTTGGAACATTATATCCTCGAAAAAAGTCGCGTTGTTCGACAGTCTAAAAATGAGCGCAATTTCCATTTCTTCTATCAACTTTTCGCTGGAGCTTCAGACTCCCTTCGACAGAAACTTGGACTCACAACACCTGATGACTTTCTGGTTGGTTTTCTTTTTTTTATTTGAACAAAATATTAAAATTAGGGTGTTTAAATTTCCAAAAAGGGATGTGTGTATTGTGTTTAATTTTATCTTACCTTGCCAAATAAGAATTAATTTTTGCGAGAATTTTTTCCCGACATTCATTTAAACAAGATAAATTTCCTCGATTTCTTTTAAATTTAACTCCATTGCCACTTAATTGAGCGTAGATTCTCCAATTATTTTTCAAATTTAATTTCGTGTTTTCTATTTTGTTTAGTATTTGTCACGAGGTTGTACTCGGTATTTCTTGCAACCTCAAAACAGGTCCGCTCTCTCAGATGACCGTTTGAGTCGTGATGTAAGTCGACTACATCCTTTTTTTGCTATATCATTACTCCTATTGGCTTTTATGCTCATTTTCTTAGTATGAGTCATAAAAGCGTGTTGTGTGCGTGCGTGTGTGTGTGCGCGTGTGTGTTATTTTCTTACATCTTTCTTCGCTTAATGATTAAATGGTTAAATGAGAGAGCGAGCTAGAGAGAGAGAGAGAGAGAAACGGTGTGCGCTTGTTTAAAATTGGCGTGTTGTGCCAATAATCACTGCCTGACTTTGCGTCACACAGCGAGAGAGAGAGAGAGAGAGTTTGCATTGCATGAGAGAATCCTTATTCCTACTCTTTTGGTGTTGCAATAACAGTGTTATTTCAAAGCTTGCTTGTAGCATCTGGCACAGAGAATGCGCCCCACCCCCAGGAAAAACACATTTCTTGTCACATCTCTACGCTCATCACGTTAGCCTACCTTAAAACGAGGGACAGGTTGACAACTTTTTCATCTCGCGCTCCCTTCAAACTGACACTTCTTCCTCCTTAGCCGATTATTGATTTAAGCGCTTCTTGGAGAGGGAAGGAGGGAGGGAGGGAGTTAGAGTTTCCTCGCATGCATTTCAAAAGCAAAAGTTCCACTGCAATATCGATTGGAGCCTTGCCCACAACAAAAGGGCCTCCACAACTCCTTCAGTCTGGTTAAATTTCTTTCGATACGTTTGCAAAGAAACTAATACTGAGGCGTTCATCAGTGGATACTACCCCCACCTCCCCCCCCCACCCCCACCCCCTTGGCTAAACCGTTTAAATTTTCTCAGAAGTCAAACTGCTTGCAGACTAGTGTAACAGGCATCTAGGGGAGACCTCTACAGCAGAATTTCCCTCCGAAATTAGCGAGGCCACTTCCAAAACGATATCGTACATATATATATATATAGAGAGAGAGAGGGGGGAAGAGAGTTTGATTTCAAGCAATTTGGCAACTGTGAATACAATACTACGCTGCACGAGTATTGATCGTTGATTACCTGGGAGACCACTACACACATGCGCACTTCCCAGAATGTTCTAGTGCCAAGGATGTTTCTCAATAAGTTATTAGTATTTTCTTCATTTTTTTGCCAATGCGTAGATTCCGAATAAGCAATGCGATATTGAGCACCATTTATTGGTGAATTATATTACCTTAATCGTTCACCAAAGGCAATGAGATGAAGTTCCAGCTTTTAAAGTAGCCATTTTTGTTTTGTTTCACTTTGGGTTTGTGGCCTTCTTGAACTGAAAGCCATCTTTCCATGAGAGGTGGAGTGTACACTGTGGCGGATTTGATCTTTTGAGAATGAGAGTATTCATTCCTTTTCACCTTCTTGGTCCTATTAGGTTTATTTATTTATTTATATCGAGTGGCAGGCGTTTTGATAGTTATCATCAGCCCTTTAGCTAGCTAACTTCGGACTTCACAGAGGAGAAGAACATCAGAGTGAGAAAAATTCGAGAGAGGGGGGGGGGGTGAAGAGAAGAATGTTTCACAGACGTAAAGGAGACAGACATTAAGGTAGAGAAAATGACATATAGTCGGCTATGGTAGTTTGAAGTCAACTGCCGGATTGTTGACATTTTGCCGTATGATTATACGGTACCCAGTCTGCACCACGTGGAGATGAACTATCACACACCCCAATTCGGTTTAACTTAGTATGAGCCTACAGTGTGGGCAAAATAGAGGAGGCGCTTTGCTTTGTATCATGGTGAGTGTTATTGAGCACATTTCGGTGGGTCATGTGGTGCCCAGTGGACATCTTGTTTACTGAATTGCTCGGTGCTGTGTTGACCACTTGGTAAAAGCGTTTGTGGACACAGTCCTACAGAGTGACATTTTTAATCGAACAAACGGTGTTTATTGTTATGATTTGTTCGTAAAGTCAAATGGAAGATCTATCACAAAGTCACCACTGGCAGGTACTCCTGTTAAGAGCACTTTCCATAGAAATAATATCTAACCTTAGAGATGCCGTATTTGTCTCAATGCCAAACGAAACCAGGTATATGTAGTTTATTCAGCGGATCATAGTGGACATGTTCAGAGGAGTCTACCTTGAAGTAGGTGGAAATCAATCCGCCTTTTATCTTCCCAATATTAGAGAGCAAAGGAAAGTTACCCCGAAACATGTTTGAAACAGTCACATATGCAAACGAGGCGTTTTTTTTATCTTGGCCACCTGTAGAATTGGCCATAGTCACAAGTAGGGAGAAGGTGGCTTGTGCCATTTTGCACAACGTAAATATTTACTTCCAATCTTCAGCAAAGAGAACATGGACCACTTCAAGACATTAAAATGGACGATCTTGAGGATTTCAAGATGTCCATCAAAGTGATGAAGGATATGGGTCTGGATGAATCCACTCAGGAATCTATTTTCTCAATTCTTGCTGGAATACTCCATTTGGGAAATGTTGTCTTTCAGGAATCTAAAAGCGCTCATGGTACGTCTCTCCTTTCCATGCCTTTGAATTGATTTTATTACTGGTGTCCATGTTTCAATACTTGAGCAAATTTTGCAGTAAATTGCTTTGCCTATTGCCCACTGATTTGAATGGTGCATGAATCGATAAATCCGTGGTGTTCAGAGCTCATGGCACCTTGTTTCATTTCTTACAACCACGAGCATTTTGAAGTGGATTCCGTTGATATTGGCTCTAGTATTACTAATTTATCCATAGCTAAACTAAATATTTACCTTTGTTTAATTGATTGAATCAACTGAAATCGGCAAACAGATAGTCCAGAAGGTGATAAGGAAGGTGGATCGAAAGGGTGTTTTGAGTAATGTCGAGCTTCCATTAAATTGGGGTTTCAGATTGTACAATATTTAATCCGCGTCTCAAAATTCAAATTTCAAGATCTGTTCCCTGAAGCTTACTAAGTGTTTGCCCACGGAGTTGGGTACTTATTGGTAGCTTTACTGAAGAAGTGTCGGTCTGGACCCCGGGGTTTGGAAGGAAAACTGGTCTTACCTGTTTTGACATGACAAATACTACCCTAACCGAAACCTTGTTAACTTCATAAGTTTCATGGGGCATTCATTGATGTCATATATCTATTGGGCTGTACCACTGCAATCAAATTAAATTTTGAAAACGTTCAGCCTTGACAATTAGGACATCCAATACAATTTTGAGGATCTGAGGCCTTCTTCAAGTCCCACTCCATCAAAGGGTAACACTGAGAGCTGAGTATATTTCATTTCATGCCGTTTTCTCTCATCTAGCTGTTTATTGGGTATTCGTATATGACCAGTTAGAAGAGGAAAGCTTAAAACAAAAAAATCAATTCTTTGGCAAATACGATAAGTTGGGAAAAAATCAATATTCCCTTAAACTATCGCTTTAGAAATGCCGAATCGAATGTAAAACGGATCGGAGTTCTTAAACACCCCCTCTTTTAACAATAGATTTGATCAAATGATTTTAAATTCTTGGGGTGGTGTTTTTTTAAAATACAAATATCTTCGGTTTTAAAAAGTTTTTTTTAAGTTGCGTTTAGTTTTTATGCGCTCCAAATCACTTTACACTAATAGAATTAATGACATTTGAACTTAACGGTTTTTTTGATACTTCAAGTCTTCAATCAAACTGAGTAGTGTTAGACTGAGAACAGATTAGATTGATGGAAGCAAGTGTCACTTTTGACTCATATATCATTCAAGATTTCGTGAAAAAGTCACTTCGATGAAAGGAACTATTCTAGACAGGCTATCACACCTATGTGGTTGAGTTTTGATTTATCACTCTTAACGTCTATATGTGTGCTTCCGTCGCCGATTGCTACTTAAATTCTCACACACAGTATACAGTACACACACACACTCACACTTCTTTCTTTAAATTGGCGACATGCGATTCTATTGCGCGCCAACAAATTGCTGGTCTTTTTGAGGGTGTTGATGAAGGTGTTGCGTTTTTTTTGACGATATTACCTTCGCTTTAAGAAGTGCCTGTGGGGCGGTGTTAACGAAATTTGTAAACTTAGAATATGTGTGAAAAATCCCCCACTAACAATAATCACACTATTAGCAATTACTAACACACTATCATATGAGCTCGTCTTTGTAACCTTAAGGGTTTTTGAGTAGTAACTAGGTGACGCATTGGTTCCTGCGCACTGGCCTCAACTCAATCTACGCAGCTGTTACTCAAACTTGAGGTCATTTAAGGGGAATATCGATCGATCTATGTGTGCAAGTTAGGCCTTCATCTACTCTACAAACATTACATTACATTACATATATTCTACTTTCATTAATTTTATATGTCAATGAAGGTTAGAGTTCATTGTGCGGTTAACTATCACCCACTTCTCTTCTTATACGATTTAGGAGGATGTGTTGTGTCAACTCAGTCCCAATCTTCACTAAATATGGCATCAAAACTTCTTGGAATTGAGGCCAAAAAGATGTCAAAAGCCTTGACAACCCGTATAACAGGGACTCGAGATCTAACAATAGCACTGAGGGCTGAAGAAACCTCAAATGCTAGAGATGGTCTTGTGAAAATAATCTACGATCGTTTATTTGACTTACTTGTCACCACGGTCAATAAGGCCATTCCGCATTCCAATAAGCAAACCTATATTGGCCTCTTGGATATCGCTGGATTCGGTATGTTTACTTATTTAGTTTAAGTAGATGCGTTTTTAGGTGCTTATTTTCAGTACTCTTTTCAGAACACTTTGAGGTCAACTCCTTCGAGCAATTCTGTATTAACTATTGCAATGAAAAATTACAACAGTTCTTTAACGAGAGGATACTTCGAGAAGAACAGATCGTCTATCAGAAAGAAGGATTGAATGTTAGCAGTGTAGCTTATGTGGACAACCAGGATTGTATTGGCAAGTCCCATCTCTTGAGAAAAATAAACTTTAATTTTGATCCAATATTTGTATATGTCTTCACTACAAACAAACTTATGATAAGTCCTAAGTTCAGCTCTCAGGACTAACTATTAAGACTAATGCTTTAGTTGAGAGTTTAAGTTTGTTGAATAATACTCCTGAACTCACCTATACATTGTAATTTTGTCCAAATAATAGTCGCATTGGGTAGATATTAGTCTGTTTTCATTTCTTCATTGGTATAATTAAATTAACCTTTTGTCAGAGGTGCACAGCTGATCAATCAAACGATGACAAAACTTGGGATGCTAGTGTCTTGGGTTGTTTTCTCTAACTCCTTATGGTCTAACTGGTTGGAAATGTGTGTGCACTATTTAGGTTGGTTGAATGTTATTTGCAAATATGGAGTTTGTTGTCCGTTGGTGAAGCTTTTCAATCCGCATTTATCGGCTCGAAAGTCAAACCATATGAGCGACTTCAGAAAACCCTCTTGTTTCCTAATTGAGGCATTGTTAGCGCAGACCTTACAGAACTTTTGGGCTTCTTTGTTGACGACCTGGGTGTTTGCTCTCGTGCAAGTGGTTTCGGTTTTACTTCAATTTCTATAACACTTATTTCACAATTTGTTTTTAGTTTGTTTGTTAGCCGTGTTTGCTATGGAATCACTATAATTGTCCTCTGATAACACTACTGCTACCTTCGTAGGCACTGGTGATCGCATATTTGCAATCGATTATTTACAATTATAATTTTCCCACAGATCTCATCGAATCCAAGAAATCGGGTATCTTGGCGCTTCTGGATGAAGAGAGTCGCCTTCCAAATTCAAACAGCGAACACTTCACCAACGAAGTTCACAGAGTGCATAATGAAAATGCCCGATTAAACGTAATTTCAAATAATAATAGTCTTAATAGTTAAAATAATTTATATTTTTATATTAACTTATAGGTAAATTTCATAAATATATCCCCATTAAATATATTATAGTTAATGTTAATCGTTTGTACTGCTTAATGTGCATAACTAATTTACTTGTGTTGAATTTAATTTTCGTGTATGTACAAGTCAATCATATAATTGTATTAAATTTTTTTGGTTTATTTTATTCAGATGATATGATTAATTTGAGGAGAAGTCATAAACTACTTATTCTTTGGTTTAAGTAGCGTTTTAAATCTTGAAGAATTAAGCTCAAATAATTGATAAGCCATCTCCATTACCACTTATCTAGTGGCAATTAAAAGGTTTAAATTAGCCTGTTCGAATCAACAAAAAGTTGATGCATCGCTTACGTTATATTCTAGTGCATTACTTTTGAAGTTTAATCAAAGGGGGCTTTCAATTTAACAGAAGAAAAGCAGATCCCAGAATCTCTTTGTCTCGAGAGTAATTACCTCCTCAAAGTCTGTGCTGTGATTGTGATTGGTACTTCATTGTCTTTAAGGTCATCACGATTGGAGTTTAATCATAAAAGTGATTGATTTTCGATTACTATGGCGATGGTTTGTAATTGTCTATCTGAAAATAAATCGATTTCTCTTCAATACAAGAGAACAAGTTCAGGCGGAGGTGAACGAATTTTAAGGGTCTTTCAATCATTTATTTATTATTTATTTATTTCAAATGGCAGGCGTTTTGATAGATATCATTAGCCATTTAGCTGACCTCGGGCTTCACAGAGGGAAGGTTCATCAAAGTGGCAGAAATTCGAGGGGTGGGGAACAGAAGAGCGATTCACAGATGTAAAAGAGGCAGACAAACACAAAGGTAGAGAAAAAGGTGAGGTGAGTACTGTGGAAGGGGTCGAATATGAGGACCATGGGGGTCGTGGTAGTAGTAGTAGTCAATTGCCGGTTAATAGACTTTTTTGCCGTATGAGTATACGTTGTTCAGGGTGCACCACGTGGAGGCAAGTCTATCGCACACCCCGTCTTTCAATCATTGATGATTAGATACATTTGCTCCTTTTTACAATACGCCTGAACATTTGGCTAGCGTTTTCAGCCTCCATTTAATTATTAAATAATAAGTTCAAGCATCCATGGCCCCGTCAAATTTGCTAAGAGTCGTATCTTTAATAAGCAAAGACACAAAGTCTTCTGGGAAGAATTTTGCTTCCTCTTTAACAAATAGATCCCTATTTCAAATGTTAAGGAAAATAGACTACTTTAATGAG